TTGGCGTCGGATTAGGGCGCAGACATGTTGGACCACCAGGCCGCAGCTAATCCTGTGTCCCTCTGCGTTCCAATGGCATGCGAGGAAGGTAAGCAGCCAACCAGAGAAGGACATGACTGAGGGGTAGTATATAATGAGCGGCATGGCCAGCATCGTGGACTCGGATGGAAGCGCATGACGTGTGGCTCTGGCTTCTGATTGGTCAGTAAAGCCTGTTCTGTTGTACCAGTCTTCTTCATACTACGGCTCGGGTAATCTACATTGGTAGCAGCGGACGCGTTCAAATAACGCGAATCGGACCCCAGCCCTTTACATACAACGGTCGACAGAGGCAAAGACCCTTAAATGCCAGCTGAAATTGTCATGGCGGTCATCCAATGTCCAATAAACTGGATCCATAGACATAGCCCGGGATTAGGACCACTGCATCTGAAGAGGCATTGCCAAGTAAGCGACGACGACACGGACAGTAGAAGCCAGCTGGACTGCATCTGCGAAGGACCTTCAATGGATGATGAGTCTTTCCTTCAAGTCTACAAGAGCAAAGTCCCTCGTCAACTATTCGCATGGACCACTATCCTGCCAGATATGGGGTGCGGGAGTGTCAAACTGGATATTTTAACAATTATGAACAGTGCGGTGAACCAAGTCAGAAGCTTAGTGGAGACGGACCAGGTCTCAGACATATTGGACCACGCTGAACTTAGCCAACCCTCTGTCTGTCTGCGATCAAATGGCATGGGAGGAAGATAAACAGCCATCCAGATACGGCCAGGTATGAGAAGGCGAATACGATGAGCGGCATGGCCAGCGTGATGCAACAGAATACCCGAGCCGTAGTATGAAGAAGATTGGTATAACAGAACAGGCTTTATTGACCAATCACGAGCCAGAACCACGCGCCAGGCGCCTTCCATTCGAGTCCACCACGCTGGCCACGCCGCTCAATATATACTGCTCCACATTCGTGTCTTTCTCTGGTTGGCTGCCTATCTTCCTCGCACGCCACTGGAACGCGGAGAGACAGAGGATTGGCAGAAGCCAGCGTTGTCCAATATGTCTGCGCCCCCAGACGTCGCCACACTACACTGCTCCCCATTAGGAAGGGATCTGTCCTCAGTTTCAGACTAGGTTCCCTGCACTGTTGGTTATTAGTAAGACACCCAGTTCTACACTTCCCGACACGCTACATCGGGGAGGATAGTGGTCCAAACTAATAGCAGACGGAGGACTTTTCTCTTGTTGACTTGCAGGAAGGCCGCTTCATCCATCACAGGTTCCTTCTCCACTCGCAGTTAAGCTGGCCTTTACTGTCCTTGCTGTCGTCATCGCTGAGTTGCCCATGAGTCTTCAGATGCAGCTTTTTTCCCTTCTCATATGTCGTTACACCACGACGCTCACAAATTTTGATGGACAATTGTGCATGACAAAAGAGCTCATCTTAAATTCGATATATATGTAAAACTGATTAACTCTTGTGCAGAGAACGTTAAATAACTCCGCGAGCATGTTCTTATAGGTGTTTAAAGCAGACCACTATTAATCACCAGCTAGCATTTCTAAAGAATGAATACCATTTTTTCGCTATTGTTAATTAGAGGCATTCGTTGTTTTTAATCAAATAACACCTAAACTTGGAATTCACTAAAATTTCTAACTTAAGTTAATAGAATATGGTGGGTTTTATATTCAAATAAACTAATGAAAGATATTCAGCTAACATTATGAAACATTTTGGATGTACTTTTCGGGAAGATGGTCGAAAAATTTTAACCAGGTTGGAGTTAGAGCACCTAGGCCTTTTTGTTGCAGATTGACTGTGCTCACATGTCCATATAGCAATTTTGAATGTGGATTAGGGCAAAATCGCATGTCTTTAGTCAATTGAAAAAATTTTACTGTATCTATATTGAAGTCCGGCGAATATGGCTGCAAGTGTGTATGTTCGTTACGGTTTGCTGGTGATTAAAATGACTTCTGGTTGGCAGTGACCGTGTCAATTTGTTAGAATTATTCACTTTGTTTTTATGATTTATTTGTAAGTGTTTAGAGAAAATTATGTCTGCCTTACAATTGCCCTTGTCAATAAATCCATTTTTGATTAGTGACTCAAATAAGCATTTTACAAATTGATTAAAACTGCCTTATGTTCGTGTAGACAGAACGCAAAAAACCTTTATTAAATAAGTTAGCATTATTTACGTCACCATTATTTTATTTTGATGCGATTTTACCCACTAACACGCGGGTGATATTTTAGTGAAATTGATCAGAATGTCTTGACAATATTTTGAACATCATTTGTTATCATGCAACGTTTTTCAGCTTCTCAGAAAAAAACGCGAGCATTGCCTTCGTTAAATTGCTTGATTATTGTGAGAAACGAAATCGACACCTAGTCGGCGGTAAGACGTGATTAGGGCCAATTAACTCAGAATGTTAAACCTACTTGCAAATAAAGGTGCAGTCGCAAAGTTCAAAATTATTTGCGACATAAATGATCCCATACTAAAGTCTCGGTCTAAATAATGCCGAATAGAAGCTGATAAATCCAAACATTTCTTTAATTCGTGCGATTCTCATCAAATATAATTTGACTTTAAAATATTGTGCAAATGTCCGTTATGCCAGTAACCATGACTGATATTTAGTTAAGTTAATATAAATCGCTGCTTTGACAACTTTATTTAAAGTGTATTTTAGGTAAGAAAGCATTATCTGCAGTTGTGTTTCAAAGGTTAGTTTAAATAGTTATAAAGGTTAGAGCAGAACAGGGTTATTCAAAAAAACATATACAGATTAAACATGACAGCAGGCCTATGTAGAATTTGGCTGAATTTGTAGTAAAATATACCATGGTTAGATCGAAATATTGTTCGCGTCAGGTAGTCACAAAACGTAAAGCATATCGCGCAGGTCGCCCAGAAGTTTCAATGTATTCTCATTGAGGAGCTAGTTATAAAGAATGATTAATTGAAGGAATTGTAAGTGCGAATTCTTTATGAGTAATCTCAATTCTGAGCAATGTCTTGGATTGTGAGAGGAGAACACAAGTAAATACGTATAGGGTGCTAATCATGCGATGCATTGGAAGGCAAATAATCGTGGAGAATACAAAAGATTGAAGCGTGGACTGGAAGTTCTTATATACTAGATTAAATCTGAGTAATCGAATCCCGATTTTCGGTATTCTAAGAACTGAAATCTTTAACGCTGCATTGTGAGATTAAAAGAGATACCTCAACTTTAAGTTAACTAAGAGAGAAGCGTTCGGACGGTCTAGCTAAGATCGCTGGTTTTTCGGGGTTAATAAAATGTATATCGACAACCGTCAGTAAAGTACAATCAATAATTAATTCAATGTTCATGATGCTCCGTTTTACAAACCAATATGTCCAATGTTTGCAATCAATAAATAGAGGATGTCTCCTGTTTTTGATTTTGCCTTATTATTTTAAACAAAATTGCGGTAGAATATGTCATCTGGCCAGGTTGAATTACTGTTGTAATATCAAACTAATATCCACAAATTTTTTTACATTTTATTAGTAATTATTTTCGTTAAAGAAAAAGGGTCTCTAAACTATTTTTATGCGAAAGCAAAGCAGCGGAATTTAGCACCACGAGTGTTTTTTTTAATGGAAGTGCCCTAAGTGATCAGATCAAAACAGGATTACTTATTATGTTATTTCAAACAAGCTGATACCTGTACGTTTTTAATTACATTTTGTTATAAGGCAAATTACGATATTCCGTTTTGTGTGTTTTGATCAATAGAGCCAAATGGTAGTGTTGCGTGATTATAACTTGAAGTGTTCATTGCGCCGATTTCAAGTTAATCGAACGTTGGTGTTACTTTTCTTTATGTACCTCGGTGCTGTTATTGAACAATAGAGACTTAATTAAATGTGTGTATTATTTTCAGGAAATGAAGTTGATTTTTCATCCAAGTTAAATATCTGTATGATCCTTTGTTGAGTCGCAGTTACCGCTGCCAACATGAAACAATTAAACAAGTGGATTGGTCCGAATATGAGTGTAATGGCTATTCAGCCTCGTCGACGCAAAACTAAAGACGGTGTTTTTGACTTTGTGCAACTTTCGCAACCTTTTCTATTAAAGTGATGAACAGTTATTTAGTGTTTTCTTAATGAAGTGTCATTTATGTTTTTAGGGTTTAGTCAGCAGACTATTTTCTATAAACTCAGCTAGGACAAAAGTGTTAAATATTTACTAAAATATGTTTAATTTATGGTTTAAAACGGTCATTGCTGTACCCCCATTCGTTTCGCAAATGTTGGTTGTCACAATGTGGTATTGCGTTTATGTTTATTGCCGTTGTTAATTTGCATCTGAGCGACTTTGTTGATCAGTATGTAACAATATTTATACTGCCACCAGCGATTCGTTTGTCACTGTTCAATATCGTCTTTAGCTTTTGTTTTGAGGTTTGAATGTGAGTCTTTTTTGATTATAGCTTCACAAGAATGGAGGGAATAGAGACTTTTTCTGGAATGAGTGACACAGTCGTTCAATGTAGCGATTCCTCGGACAATATAGGAAATCCTAGGTTGACGTCTCCAAAAGATGAGTTCATGGTC